TTATGTTCAGCCAACTCTCATCTGCCTAAATTTGAATTCTGAGCCCAGATTCTGTTTGTCAGTTTTTTTACCATATGTGCAATGGTTTGTTGCTCGTATGGTTTCACTTTTCTCATCTTTTGCACAAGAGAGTATTTGCAACCCCCTTGGCAAGATGAAGCCTGTTTGCTTTGAAGGGGACAATCTTCTGCTCTGTGCAGCTGCCCAGCCAAGGAACTGAGCTGAGCGCGACACTGGCTTAGCAGTTATGATCCATGTTTACTAACAGGTCTTTGGCTTGGGGGCTTTACGACAACGACTCAGCTTGTGACACCAGAATGAGGTATTTATCATGTCTACCTCAGGCTTAACAAAAGAAGACAGCCTGATCTCCACAATGGAAATAAGGAAATAAGGGAGACATAAGGAGGGCTGTCTCCAGAAGGCAGCAAGACCAGCATTTAAGAGCAGAGGTCTGAATCCAACTGGGCTGTCCAAACTAGAGCTGCTGAATCAATGGGATTTACTTACTCACCCTTCAGAGGCTGATTCAATGGGTCTGCTTTCACTGGGTGATCAACTAGGCTTGGGCGGATCTTCGGAAAGTTATCATCGGAATTAGAGCGCCTAGAATCTCTCAGCCGATGTGGCCACTGCCTCACAGGCTATTCCTGACGTTGTCATCCACGAAGTCATTTTTCCAAGCTCTGCCTAACAGCACCCATGGCCCCCAACAGTCCTCTTCTCATTTCGCCCAGAGGACCCAAAACATTCACACCAGCGGGAGAAAAGTCACAGACGCATACTGCCACCTGCTCCAGCTTGGTTGCCACAGAGGAGACTATTGTGGTTGCCTACTTCAAAGTATGCCTTTGAAGGCTTTGAGCCAGAAAGGCTATGCAGTAGGAACCCCATATCCACGGGATCGGTATCCACTGATTCACTTCTCCGTTGCCTAGAAATGCGAAATAACCCCCACCTCAGAAATTTGCATCTATCCAGGGTATATTTACCAGAACTCGCCACTAGAGGGGGTCAGAGACCATGCAATGTATATCATTCAACACTGCTGTGGTTTTTCATGCTGCTGTGGTTTTCCATCATGCACTCTGTGTGTGTGTGTGTGTGTGTGTGTGTGTGTCTGATTCACTTCTCCGTTGCCTAGAAATGCGAAATAACCCCCACCTCAGAAATTTGCATCTATCCAGGGTATATTTACCAGAACTCGCCACTAGAGGGGGTCAGAGACCATGCAATGTATATCATTCAACACTGCTGTGGTTTTTCATGCTGCTGTGGTTTTCCATCATGCGCTCTGTGTGTGTGTGTGTGTGTGTGTGTGTGTGTGTGTGTGTGTGTGTGTGTAACTGATCCCAAGCGGATACTGTACGATATGGCTAGGCAGCCTAGGGGCCCACATGTCTTTCCCAGCACCTCCGGGACCCCCAACATCTCAAAAATAAATAAAAGTGAAGGGAGATATTTTAGGTTTTTAAAAAAATAATATTTGTAGAAAAATGAAAGGTTCCCAGGGGGTTCATTCCGAGGAACATGGCAAGCGAATTTAAAAAGTAGATCCATGTCACGGTTCTGGAGCTTTACCAGTCCCACCAGGAGACAGTGGGAGGAACTGGGGACTGTTTCAGACCAAGCATGTGTGTGACTACAGAGCTATGGAAAGCCTTAGGTCTGCTGAACAGCATGATTGCATGCCCTCAGCTCCACAGGTAGCCATTAACGGTTATTGTAAGTGCAGGACATGCTGTTCGACCAACTGGGCCCTTTTGCTACACTGTTGGTGTCTGCCTTCAAACTGCTCAGTGGACATGAAAGCTTATCTACCCCCCCCCCCTGGCATTCCGGCTCACTTCCCATGTCAAAGCTGGTACTCAGAGTCTAAGGTACTTGGAAAAGCAGAGTTGATTGTGGGGGGGAGAGAGAAACACAGCAATAATTGTGTGTTTTTGTTTTTAGATTTAACTAGCTGGATAAACACATCTCTAATCAGCAAGCTATCCACTCTCTGTGTCAGAGCAATTAACCTATTTGCATTCATTAGATTTCAATTAGCATATATTAGCTTTCAATTAGCAATTAACAGAAAATCTTTTCCTCTGTACTGCAGGATACAATAGATTTCCCCTCCCCTTTTCTCCTCCTCTCTGCTAGCCTAAAACGGTATTGCAGAGAAATTCTTTCTCCCAAAATGAAGAAATTATAGAGAAAATATATTAGAGTAGACATTTATTCCCAAGAAACTACCAGATTTTACCTTTGCTCAGCCTCTTGCTGACATCCTACATGAAACACTAATGGTTCAGAAGCAGACAAATATTAAATTTTCATTATTCTCTACAACAAGCACGCACCGCCTCTCTTTAGCTCTTAGGCATTCTGAACAACTCTGGCTAGCCGAAGCTTTTGCTGTTTCACTGAAATGAGCAGGCACCTTTCATTCTTCAAAGCACTCCGTATTTTCAGATCATGTCCTTTGCTCCAGGTCATGATCCGTAGTCACTTCTCCTGTCTGTCTGTCTGTCTGTCTGTCTCTCTCTCTCTCTCTCTCTCTCTCACACACACACACACACAGAGAGAGAGAGAGAGAGAGGTTTCCAAGACTCTGTCATGCGCTTGACGTTTTGATCTATCAACACACATATGGCATGCAGAGTATTTTCAGAAACGAGGACTCAAATGTTTGCTGCTTTACTTTCTCTGCAACGGAAAACTAGAATCTACCCACCAGCCACTTTCTCCCCTATGCCAGTCTTTTCCTCCACTCTAGGTGCCTTGGGCTGAACCTCCCATCGTCCCCAGCCACAGCCATGCTGAATAGGGGTGATAGCAGTTGTAGTCCAGGGCATCTGAAGAACAACAGAATGAATGAAAGGCTGTTCTATGTAAAATAAGAGAAACACTGAGTGCTCACATCAATAGCTTGAGATGGTGTAAATCTTGATTGATGAAAACGGACGTGTCTTTTTTAAAAAAAAAAACTCTAATTAGGTCAAATAACCCTAAAGAAATATTTTAAACCAGTTTCAAAAGTAAGAGCTTTTTTTCTCTGAAGCTGAATTTATTTGGGGAGGGTCGGGATGACATGTGCATGTTACAATCAGTTGTATTTCCCTCCCATCTTCCTTTAATGTTATACTATTTATCAACGCAGGAACCTTGTGAGGGAAGAAAGGGATTAAGATACCCTCCCAAGTTAAGCTCTCATGCCAGTCTCAACAGGGCTCCCCATTACCTCAGTCACCTCACTTGATATGCAAAATTACCTGATGACAGGGTTTCTTGAGTAGGTTTAGAACATTTAGGCAAGCTTTCTACTTTACAGAGAGCAAGGGCCATCTTCTCCAACTTATTGCCTGCTAAAGGAGTGAGACTACAACTCCCATCCTCCCCAGGCAACCTGGCATTTAGTTTCAGTAGGTGCCTGATTGAGGAATGTCGGAAGAAGAAGGCTGCCAAAGCAAGGATCCCAAGAGACTTCTCCTCATTGCTCCTCACAGAAGCATCTTAAAATACGAAATGCAGAGTCTCCGTTTTCATTGCCTGTTCTCTTTCCCTCTCAGCCTCTTGCTCACTACAGATCTATTCACATCTACTCGCTCGCTAGGGCTGGCTCACAATCGTGCACACCCATCAATGGATCACTATCAGATCAGGGAAATATACATGAAGTGATACAGAACCATTGAGAGACAAACCTCTGATTTCATCTTGTCTCGCCTGAAATCCCTAGTTTTCCTCACTGAGGCATCCTCCTTGCTCAAGGCTGAAAAGAGACATTAACAGGATCCTGTTCACTATCTGAAGAAAGCACTGCTCCGATCAAATAGGGAGAAAGGGGGAATGGTGTGCATATGTGTATAGGTGCACCCAAATTTAAACTGCACACGTGTGTGCACACACACATGCATGCGCGCGCGGACACACACACACACAATTAGGTATTCTAAATGTCTTCTTTGGCCTGTTCTCCAAGGCACAGGGACCAAGCACACAAAAATTATTAGGGATTCTAAACGTCTAATTTAATCCTCTGCTACTAGTCCTCAAGGCATAATACTGTAATCAGGCACACAAAAAGAATGAGGTCTTCTCAATAATTTGCCCCTCAAGATCCAGTAAGGGAGCAAGAGGTGACTCAGGCAATCCAGAGAGAAGCAGGCATGTGAGATGCAGTACACAGATCACAGTGTGGGACCCCAGACACCCCCCCCGGGTGGGGGCCACACCTCAAAGTGCCCTTGAGCCTCTCTCTAGGATGTAGTTCTGACCCCCGGAAAAGGTGGGCGTCCAGAAAGAGGCAGTGATCCGCCTAGAGTGGTCTTAACTAGGCGGGATATAAATAAATAAATAAATAAATAAATAAATAAATAAATAAATAAATAAATAAATAAATAAATAAATAAATAAATAAATAAATAAATAANNNNAGGGGGTGGGTGGGAAGAGAAGGGGCGACGGTACGATCAGGAGGCTGAACTTTCCTCCTTACTGTTGTCTGAGCATCTCCCTGGCAAAGACTTGAGGAGAATATTAAGAACCCCGGGCGGGCGGCGACCGATTATCCAAAGCCACCCAATGCGAATCAAACCCGGATCTCCTGGCCGCACCGGCCGGATTTCCATACAGAGAAAGGCAGACATGAATGCAGATCAATCTATGGGGTGGGGAGGTGAACCTCGGTCCTGCCCCCAATTCTCCTCCTTCGCACACATCAACACCCCCCCCCGCCTCACACGCAACGGTAAGGAAGCGAGGGCGAACCAATGTCACCTTTCCAGGGATGGAGACGGAGGGCAAGTGCCCAGGAGCCTCCTCCCCCCCAAAAAAATCCCAAGCGCGTTTTTTTTTTCTCGCGCAGACGATCACGACTGTTTATTGCGATTATGAAAAATAAGAGTATTCTGTTGTATCTGCTTTGATCGGGACGGCAAGTCAAAGGCGGGCCCCCCCCCCCCCCCCCCCCCCGCCGCGCCCTCCACCGACCCCTTTCTCAGCTCGCGTACCTGGGATGGCCAGGTTGGCCAAGGGCACGCTGTGGATGCTTTCGGGCAAACTTGCCATCCAGTCCGCGAATTTCAGCTCGAGCTTGCCTTGCGATGAAGCCATGCTTGCTCGCGGGGAGCGGAGAAGAAGCGCGCCGGGCTCGCTCGCTCGCTCGCTCTTTTCAGCCGCCGGCAGGGATCGCAGCCGCCGCCTCCTCTGCCTCCTCCCCCTTTCCTGCCGGATCCCTGCCTCCCCCGTCAGCTCGCTCCTCTTGTTCTCCGCTCCCGGCTTCGCTGGAGAGTTCACGCGCCCCGCTGCGCCACACCCCCTGGCGGCGGATGACGCAGGCGCAACCTAATTCGAATTAGGCTGCCCAGCGAATTCGGATCACTGGCCAGGCGGGCGGGCTTTGGCGGGGGGGGGGGGTTGTTACCTTCTCCTGCCCGAGTAAGGGGCAGGTTTTCCCCGCGTCGGGAAGCAAAGAGCAAAACCTTTGGGCTCCTTAAACTGTTTGGCGGGCGGGGGCAGTGAAGGAACCGGCCACTTCGGTTTGGAAAGAGAAGCCAGCGGGGAGTGAAAAGGGGAGAGCAAACGGTAGCTGGTTCTTCCCCTTTCTTCCTGCCTGAAGCAAAGGAGCAAACAGCTGCCCACCAAGTCCAGAAGCTTAAGCCTCCATCCCATTGTTATTCCTCACAAGAGTAGACCCACTGAATCAATGGGATTTAAACAGTGTTAAGGCATCAAGTTCTTAAGGACTCAATGGCTTTCTTCCAGTTGGGATATACAGTAGAGCAGGATCTATGGAGGGTGGGTTCCAAGCCTGGCCACCCCCATGCATGAAACCAGGGATAGTAGCCTTCCAAAGGCAGAAGGCAGGGAGGGAGGCCCTGAGGAGTGCTTGAACGGCTGGCACCCTTGTCCCATTGGAGAAAATAAGGACTCAGCTCTGCCCCTGGAAACCGCCACCAGAAGAATGTGCCATATAAGGGAGATAATGAAGGACTACTCTTCATTTCATATGGTGATCAGCTGTGGTTAAGTGAAACTGTGGTAATCGAAACAGCCAATACAGGGCTCCTACTGTTGTTGTTTAGTCGTTTAGTCGTGTCCAACTCTTCATGACCCCATGGACCAGAGCATGCCAGGCCCTCCTGTCTTCCACTGCCTCCCAGAGTTGGGTCAAATTCATGTTGGTCGCTTCGATGACACTGTCCAACCATCTCATCCTCTGTCCTCCCCTTCTCCTCTTGCCTTCACACTTTCAGAACATCAGGGTCCTTTCCAGGGAGTCTTCTCCGCTCCTGAGATAGCCAAAGTATTGGAGCCTCAGTTTCAGGCCCTGTCCTTCCAGTGAGCACTCAGGGTTGATTTCCTTCAGAATGGATAGGTTTGTTCTCCTTGCAGTCCAGGGAACTCTCAAGAGCCTCCTCCAGCACCACACTTCAGAAGCATCAATTCTTCCGCGGTCAGCCTTCTTTACGGTCCAGCTCTCACTTCCATACATCATTACTGGAAAAACCATAGCTTTGACTATGCGGACCTTTGACAGCAAGGTGATGTCTCTACTTTTTAAGATGCTGTCTAGGTTTGTCATCCTTTTCCTCCCAAGAAGCTCCTACTGTACTACTTTCCTATTGATTCAAGTCTAACAATTGGACTTATACTCACAAGTGAACAAAACTACATGGCTTATTTTATGCCTGAGACAGAAGCCTCATAAGCCCCTCCTTCCCATCTCTAGCAAAAGGCCAATGAAATAATAATGACTATGCACCATCAAGTCAGTTCCGACTTAACGGTGACCCTTACCAGTTTTCTAGGTATGGTGTATTCAGAAGAGGTTTCCTATTCTCTCCTTCTAGGACCTTGCGCTTTGCCCAAAGCTACACAGGCTGGCTCTTAGTGGGAAATAAATGTAAAATTACAACAATGTAAATAATTGTTTTGTGTGGCTTCAGGCACCCTCTTTGTCTAATGGTAGGGCCCATCATGGCTCTTACCTCTGTTCTTTTGCTCATCCTCACTGGGCACTTGGGCATGGAGGATTGGGCCCACCATGCTATATAGAAACAGAGTGTAAGCAGGACACCTTAGTCCTATACAGGCATTCAAACAAGGGCTAACCTGAAAATATGAGCAGGGAGAGAATACGAATATAACCGATATCTTATCTCCTGCTTGCTACTCTCTCCAGAAGGGGAGAGAGTGCATGTGGCATCTCTCTGTGCAGCCGAAAATCCTGGAAAATCAGGATTCTGATCACATGAACATGCTCCACACATAGCAGACGGTTGTCTGCTTCAGACCAGCCATCATCATAAGGAGACAGCAGTAGGCAGGGGGTGTGGCTAGAACTCTCTCCGTGCTCACCCTTTGTAATTAACGCTTGCTCAGATGCCTGAATAGGGCTTCTGTCTGCTCACTCCCCTCCTCTCATCCAGCAATTCATAATAATAAGTTTGGTCTTCTCAGAAGGGGCTGTCTCATCTTCTCCTGTCATTTCATGGCTGCCTGAAGCATTCTGGAAGTTTCAGGCCAAAAAGATAAAATCAATTGCTGTTCCTTCCTCCCCTCTCTTGATTCACATATTTCAGCCGTGGCAGGAATTGTGGTCTAGAGAGAGAAAAGACATCTCTTACCCTTTCCTCTCACGTACCAGTTTCATAAAATCAATTGCTGTTCCTTCCTCCCCTGTTTTGATTCACATACAGTATTTCAGCCGTGGTAGGAATTGTTGTCTAGAGAGAGAAAAAGACATCTCTTACCTTTTCCTCTCACGTACCAGTTTGGAGAAGGAAGGGGCAGCCCCTTACATTCATCATGGCTTTTCTCTCTGGTTGGGTATTTGGCACCATGATCCTCCATGGTTTGCTACCCAGGGAGAGAGAGAGAGAGAGAGAGAGATAGGAAGCAGGGAGAGCCGACAGTGCTTACCCCTTGCAGAACAAGAACTGCCTCCACTTGATCACCCCATTTTCTTTCTTTCAGTAGATTGCTCCACTGCCTCACTCACTCTGTCAGTATGTTGATCCTGTCCACTTGGCTAATGTAGCAGGAAAAACAAGGCTCAGTGGCGGTCAGATATCTTCTGTTGCCCGAGATGGGAATCAAACCACCCCCACCTCACCCACATTATGCTGAGGATCTGGTCCAAAGCCCTTCCTGTAAGAGGGAGATACAGTGGTGATGGTACCCACTCCTAGCTCTCCAGCACTGCTGGAGAAGCAGGCAACAATAAGATGATAAGGGTGGTACAAATGTCTTCCCATCTAGCTGAGAAATCAAAACAAAGCATGTGTATAACCCCCTGTAGCGGTTGAAACACTCTCTGGGTGGTTTACAATTTAATTATGAGGGCTACACATTGGCCTCGCCCCACCCCAAGCTAGGCGCTCAATTTACCAACTTCAGAAAAATGGGAGATTGAGCCAGCTGCTTGAACCTGTCAGGATCAAACTCAGGTTGTGAGAAGAGTTTTGACTGCAGTACTGCAATTTAACCACCGCATCACAAGGCTCAGTGGGCTTTATAGCAAAAAAGCAAAAGAAACTGGTGTCAGTCTCAATTCCAGAGCCACCTGTCAAGGAGGCAAGGAGGGAGAAGGATGTGGTGGCAGTGACAGCCGTGCCTTGAGCAGTGCCCATGCTCACACTGCTGCCCGTCTGCCCATCCAAAGGAGGGGGATATCAGAGGACCAGTGCCAGCTCCCAATGAACAAGAAGACTATGGAGACACAGCAGTCTCAGTCCCTCTAACCACCAGACATTGGCTCAGGACTGTTGTGCAGAATTGCATCAGCTCTCCAGAATGCCCAAGACTCTGTCAGGGAGCGAGTGGAGTGCCAGATTGCTCTGACATTTGAGGTTAATTCCTCAGTGAGACTAAAGGCAGGGCTGGCATGGAGCCATCCAGAGATGAGGGGGCAAAAGACAGCAAGCTGCCACTTACTTCCTCTCATGAGGTAATATGGAAAAGGAAAAGGGAAAGGCTCAGGAAGTGAGCAGAAGATGAAACACATCTGAAATTTCTACCCCTGCTGCTTCACTCTTGTGATCATGCTGGGATGTATGAAGAATAAGATTCATTGGGCTAATCTATCATCACTGTGCCACTCGCAGTGTTACTAGATGAGTCAAAGTTCCCATATTGAGAAGGAGTGCTCCTCAAGTGGCAAACATGCTCTAAGTATATAATTGTGAAAACACGTTAAAATAAATAACGTGACTTTGAATTATCTCTAGAATGTAAACAAAAGCTTATTTTGCATTTCTAATTCTGGAGATATGTGTAGATCATTTAGCTGTGAAAAAAGCAGTGCAAAAGCTCAGAAGATGCTCTGCGTGTGTTTTGGCCTTCCGGTAGACGTCAGGACTAAGGTGAGTGAGTGTGTGGAGACAGGTTTGCCTCTTCAAGGAGCAATTCTCTATGCTTCACTCCCAAAAGTTGGGGAGGCAATGGAGATTTTCTAGGTTCCACTATGGGTTCAGTACTCCATGCCATGGTACACCGAGGATGAGCAAGGGTGAGGAGGCTGGAGGAGCCGGGCGGGACTCTTCCTACCCCAGTTCTTTCCCTGCCTCTGCTGTTTGCTATTTGATTACCTCACCCCCACCTAATCAGTCAAAGTCCCAGCAAAATAAGTGACAATGCTAAGCTCTATTTTCCAAATATGCTTTGATGGTCAATTCAGCCAGGAAAAGGAAGATTTGGATATTTGGGGCTCCTGGGTCACGAAAATATTTAGGACTTAGCCCACGTCGGACACCAGCCCAATATTCTGTTATCTCTCAATGCCAGAGCCCAGCCTTGGGAAAAAGGAGGGTATTGGACAGTTAGCATTCCCTTTCTGCTTTCCCACCCAATAATCGAATATTCCACTCCCAACTGAGCATGCTCAGTTCTTCATAGGCTGTTTCTTAGGGTTCCTTTTTAAAATGTCCGTGTCCCCCTCTTGCACTAAGATTCCTCCAGCAAGATTTTTGGCATGAAATGTTCTGCTTTGCCCAGATAAAGAGTCATACTTTTTTAAAAAAAATGAGGTGACTATTAAGGTGCATAATAGACCTATCCTGTGTAGGGTAGAATGTTTTCATTGGGTTTGGAATAATCAGCTGTTCTTTTCAAAGGAGGCTGGTTCAGAGCCCTGTTCCAGCATGCTTTGGAAGCTTAGCAGGGCCAGTAAGTTGGGCAGTAATATGCAAACTCTCCATCACTCTGTGCCCAAAGCATAACACAGCACGGCAAAGAAACAGGG